CTGCTGTATATCTGTGTTGCATGGAGTCAACCAACTTCTGGCACCTGTGAACAGGTATTCCAGCCCAGGATGATTGGACTACATTCCACAGTTCTTCTCCATTTCTTGGTTTTGTCTCAGAAACTGCATTTTTGATGTCACCCCTCAAGTTTTCTATTGGATTAAGATCCGGGGATTGGGCTGGCCACTCCATAACGTCAATCTTGTTGGTCTGGAACCAAGATGTTGCATGTTTACTGGTGTGTTTGGGGTCGTTGTTTTGTTGGAACACCCATTTCAAGGGCATTTCCTCTTCAGCATAAGGCAGCATGACCTCTTCAAGTATTCTGATGTATTCAAACTGATCCATGATCCCTGGTATGCAATAAATAGGCCCAACACCGTAGTATGAGAAACATCCCCATATCATGATGCTTGCGCAACCATGCTTCACTGTCTTCACAGTGTACTGTGGCTTGAATTCAGTGTTTGGGGGTCGTCTGACAAACTGTCTCCGGCCACTAGACCCAAAAAGAACAATCTTACTTTCATCAGTCCACAAAATGTTGCGCCATTTCTCTTTAGGCCAGTCAATGTGCTCTTTGGCAAATTGTAACCTCTTCAGCACGTCTTTTTTTCAACAGTGGGACTTTGCGGGGGCTTCTTGCAGATAGCTTGGCTTCACATAGGCGTCTTCTGATTGTAACAGTACTCACAGGTAACTTTTTAGACCTTCTTTGATCTTCCTGGAGCTGATTGTTGGCTGAGTCCTTGCCATTTTGGCTATTCTTCTATCCATTCGAATGGTAGTTTTTCGCTTTCTTCCACGTCTTTCAGGTTTTGGTTGCCATTTTAAAGCATTTGCGATCATTTTAGCTGAGCAGCCTATCATTTTATGCACTTCTTTATATGTTTTCCCTCTCCAATCGACTTTTTAATCAAGGTACGCTGTTCTTCTGAACAATGTCTGCAACGACCCATTTTCCTCAGAATTTCAGAGAGAAATGCACTGTAACCAGCATGTACAACATTTGCTGCCTTCCTTCCTTAAATAAGGGCAATAATTGCCACCTGTTTATCAAAGAATGAATGACCTCACTAATAGAACTCCACACTGCTATTATTTTGAACATGCCCCTTTCAATTAGTGATTCAATTACACAATCAGCAGCATGCATGTCATGACTGTTGGGTCTGTTGGATTTCTAATACTCTACTACACCTGCTAGTAAATTATTTGCCATGTAGAAATATCATTTCTACCAAAAACAGTGATTGATCAGGTTAGTGATGTCTGACTGCTATTATTTTGAACACAACTGTATATTACACAATATATATTCTACATATTGGGCAAATTATGCAATAAACCAGAGTTTCTCATTGACTACAGGGATACATAACGAAATTCCTCAGCATTAAATTGTTACTAAACCCAGGACCCTACATTCACTATATCTGGTCTCCCACAGTACACAGAACATGGAAATGTATTTTATTTTAATATAAACTGTTAAATACCTTTTATAATCAGCAGTTAGAACAATCTTGTGACTTCTATCAGTGTCCAGCAGAGCACTGGTTAAAGCTTGTAGGAGGAGATTTAATTCTCCCCTGATTGTCCTATGAATCTGCATAACACCAGACCCTTCTGGACAGAGGTGATCACATCACTCTCCCAAGAAAAAAAAAGCTCTCTAGCAATACACACCAAACTGAGCATGTGCAGCTTTCCCCCAATGCTCTGTTCTATTAGCAGATGAATTGGAGGCAGTAGAAGGGAAGGATCAGAGAAGACAGGATCAAACATCCTTTTTACACAATGTGGGTTCCACAGTGAGCATAACAAGCATGCTTGACTGCATATAAAGACAGATTTTTCTCTTGTGGGTTTAGTAACACTTTTAACTAAACATCTCTAAACCCTCTAGAGCAGGGGTTTCCAAACTTTCCAAGCAAAGGGCCAGTTTACTGTATTTCAGGCTTTAAGGGAGCCAGACTATGGCCAGTGGAAGTAGAATATGCCCTGGCATCAGCACCCCATCATTGGTTTTAATGGGAGGAATAGTGCCCCACTATTGTATCAAAGAAATAGTGCAGTGCTTAAATTAATAGTCCTCAGTAATTCCCGATCAGTGGATGTTCCTCAATTAAGAACGGAAGAAATGCCCACTCACCGGAACTACACTTGGTACAGTGCAGTGTATGAATATTATTCCCTGGTGTCACTGGAAGTGTACATCTGGTTCAGCCCTTGGAAGAGTATCCCTCTCTAGATCAAGCAGGTCCAGGATCACAACAATTTAGGCTCCGACACAGAGTTCCCCTTAAGGGATGTATGGGTGTTGCTTTTACAGTAGTAGAAACCTCCCACTCTGGATGAATTCGGAGTAACACAGCTTCTGGAAAAAAGTACTCCCCATGCGGGGTTAAAGCAAAAAGGTGCCCATAGTGTGATAAAGTTTAAATAAAGCAAATTTTATTGAGAGAACAAAGGATGCATCCAATGGATATCAATAGGAACGGCAGATAGCAACATAAACACTAACCGTCCCTAGAAGGAAATGGCCGCCGGAGCTCCACGATGCTCCGATGGCGTGACGTCAACGGCACGAGCAGGCTCCTCCTTACGCGTTACGTGCCACGCACATCGTCAGAGGATGAGCCGGTGCCCCACTATTGATATCAATGAGAAAAATAGTGCTCCATTGTAGATATCAATTAGAAGAATAGTGTCCTATTGATGGTGTCCATAGTGGGGATTGGTGCTCCAGCATTGGTGTCAGTTGGTGGAATAGTGCCCCAAGGGCCAGATAATGGCAAGCAAAGGGCCACATCTGGCCCCCAGGCCACAGTTTGGAGACCACTGCTCTAGAGAGTCCCCCATTCACTTGATTTACTTATGTTGTTCCCATAGGGAAAACATTTTCTTTGAAATCTCAGTGATGTCATCACCTGTATACAACGTAATCCAAACTTCTTCTGTCAGTGGCTCAGGGAAGAGGGCACCTTACATCATGTTAGACATGTCCTGCAGAACTGGTGAGGGTGTAGAGAAGAGAGATAACCCAGCAGGCAGACAGCTGAATAAGGTGACATTTCTCCTACACAGTAAATACTGTCAAGTGACATTTACTATGCAGCTTTTTCTAATAGATTGCAGGAAGGCAGCAAGACAAAACCATATTTGTTCATTGTTTCTGCTAATAAAAGATTGTCATTGAAATGTATTTATTTCTTTAGAGATTTTAGTTCATAGTGTTGGGGATTCTCTTTCCCTCATTCTGTGTGGTTGCAGAGCTTCAGCAGGAACTCACAATGTTGGTTTAGCAGCCAAGCCCTTAATTTACAGCCTACGTCATTCCTTTAGGGCTTGTTTACAAAAGCTTTTCCATCTGAAGAGTGATCCGAGATGGATTACTCTTCAGAGGGAATTTGACAGGTGGTGAGAAGGTATTATGTTGTTTCCTCACTGCCTGTTTTAACCCCTAGAAAGCCGCACCACAGTGCACACAGTTACAAAGCAGTTGTGGCAGGGCTCTATTTATTTGAGTAAGTCGTACGGGGGGGGGGGGGGTGCTTCTGGGGGGGGGATAATTTTTGCAGCACTGAGCCATAGGTACACCCTCATCCGCTTTCTTTGGAGCTTAAGGGGGAGAGATTGTGATAAGAACATAGTTCAACCGTGTTTTTATTGCCCCCCAGCCACAAGTGTAAACATAGCCTAATTGCTTAAAAAAACTACCCAAAAAAGTCAGGGTTGGAGCTCGTGTTTTCTGTAGAATCCATCTTATCTCCTTTGGCTTCTGACAAGCAATGCCTCGTTCAAGGCATATTTGTCAGTTGCCTACAAGAAATGTCACCTGCTTGTAATTAAATGCAAGGTGCTCATCCATCTCAGCAACAGACAATGGACTGGATGCTAGCCCTGGGTCACATATATGCAGTCGTACGGGCCGCATTTTGCATGGGCACGAGAGCCCATTCATTTGAATGGACTCCTGTGCCCCGGGACATGCAGGGAAGAAGTCCCTGCACTTCTATGGAAACCGCAGCCCTCACAGCCCTCACAGGAACTGGTTCCCAGTTCGGTTGCAATTTCCAGTGCGGGAGGTGTGCCATTAGAATTAATGGCTCCCACCCACGGGTTTGCATTGTTCTGTGTGGGTGGATTTTTGTGCGGATTCGCAGCGGCACCACCCACACATATGTGAACCTAGCCTCAGAGACTGTAAAGGTTTTCTGTTACAATAATTTTTATTGAAATTAAATTGAGAGACAGTTTCAAGACACAAATAGGTAGCTGGACCAACATGCTGAGCTGGAATTTGTCTAGCATAACAAAATAACAAAAACTTCCTTGGCAAATTGCCTATAGCAAGAAACAGTGGACACAGTTTCACATATAAAATACAGTAATCATAACCACTTGCCTACCAGGCACTTATACCCCCTTATTTACCAGGCCAATTTTCAGCTTTCAGCGCTGCCGCACTTTGATTGACAATTGCGCGGTCATGCAACATTGTACCCATATGAAATTTTGATCATTTTTTTCTCACAAATAGAGCTTTCTTTTGCTGGTATTTAATCGCCACTGGGCGCTTTACTTTTTGCGCTAAAAATAAAAAAATTGTAAAAAATTTGAAAAAAAAAAGTTTCTTTGTTTCTATTATAAAATTTTTCAAACAGGTATTTTTTTCTCCTTCACTGATGTGCGTTGATGAGGCAGCACTGATGGGCACTGATAGGTGGCACTGATAGGCAGCACTAAAGGGCACTGATAGGCAGTACTAATGAGGTGGCACGAATAGGCGGCACTGATAGACAGCACTAATGAGGTGTCACGGATAGGCGGCACTAATATGCAGCACTGATAGGCGGCACTGATAGGTGACACTGATGATGGGTACTGATAGACGGCACTGACTGGCATCACTGCTGGGCACTGACTGGCGGCACTGACTGGCACAACCCCTGGGCACTGACTGGGCGGCACTGACTGGCAGCACTGGTGGGCGGCACTGGTGGGCAGCACTGGTGGGTGGGCACAGGTGGGTGGCACTGGTGGGCACAGGTGGGTGGCACTGCTGGGCACAGGTAGGTGGCACTGCTGGGCACAGGTAGGTGGCACTGCAGAGTGGCACAGGTGGGCGCACTGCTGGGCACAGGTGGGCGCACTGCTGGGCACAGGTGGGCGGAGCTAGTGGGCGCACTGCTGGGCACAGGTGGGCGGAACTTGCGGGCGGCACTGCTGGGCACCGATCATCAGGGCACTGATCATCAGTGCCCTGATGATCGGTGCCGATCCCCGCTCTGACAACTGCCGGTTCTCGGCAGTACTTTCCTCACGATCTGACAGCGTGAGGAAAGTGCAGCCGAGAACCGGCACTTGCATTTTCCTCTGATCAGCGTGTCATTGGACACCGCTGATCACGTGGTAAAAGGCCGCTGTGATTGGCCTTTTACCACATCACGTGATCAGCTGTGTCCGTAGGACACAGCGATCACGGAGATCGCCGGGTGCGCGCCCCGTGGGGCGCGCAGGAGAGCGCGTTCTGCGAGGACGTCATATGACGTCCACCCAGAACTGGCCGGCCGCAGTGCAGCCGTCATTCGGCTATCTGCGGTCGGCTACTAGTTAAGGCATATGCTGTCAACATCTCCCATAATTCAAACATATGAGGTTCAAGGCCATATAAAAAAAGGGGGGGGGGAAGGGAAAACATTTGAGGGACTGTAAAAGTTTTAAGGCTGAACCCCAAGTAGATAGAAAACAACCAATTGAATCATTATTACGTTATTAAATGTATTTTTTTTAAATGCAAGCTGTGTAAGCATCTGAATTTGAGGGAGAACCAGTCCATGCAGACAGTCAGGTGAGCTGCATTTTGACAGCATTTGCTGAGAGAAGGAGAAAGCAGAGTGACAGAAAAATTAACTCATTACTCTGCTGCTTCTCCTTTCACTGTGCAGTCGAAGGGGGTTTGGGGACCTGTAAGTGAAAGTGAAATTGCAGCACAGAAAGATCAGGTCCTGTGTTTCAGAGTAGTGTAAAGTTTATGATCAAATAGACTTACAGTAAATACAAATCTTTTGGCAGCTCCCATAAATGTATTTAATCTGTCTATTTAACTCTTTGCCTGAAATGTAACTGTAAAGGCCCCCTTTTCTGTGACAGCATAAGAACAATGAGAGTTAGTGTAAATTAGTCTTAGCAATTTAACTTCAGAATGCTCTCAGGTGCATTTAGTAAAAAAGCGGCATGAAATTGAGCTTGAACAAAAAAAGCAGAGGATTAAAGTGCAACTACTGGCAAATTCATAAAGACATTCAGTATATGATGCAGTTTTTTTTAAATTAACATAGCAATATTGATTTTCTCAGTCCATTCTTTAACCACTTCAAGTCTGGACACTTTTACCCCCTTCCTGTCCAGGCCAATTTTCAGCTTTCAGTGCTATCACACATTGAATGACAATTGCATGGGCATGCGACACTGTACCCATATGAATTTTTTAGCATTTTTTTGAGACAGATAAAACTTTATTTTGGTGGTATTTATTCACCACTGGGATTTTTATTTTTTTGCTATATAAATGAAAAAGTCCAAACATTTTGAAAAAAAAGTTTTTCTTATAAAATTTTGCAAATAATTGTTCCTTATAAATCTTGGCCAAAATGTATTCAGCTATCTTTTTAGTAAAAAAAAAATAACCCAAATTAGTTTATAACCAAAATTACATTTTTTCAAATAGTTTTTTTCATTTTTATTTTTTTTATATCATTATTTATGGTTTTTTAACATACTGTCACCCTAGCAGTAGAGTGTCACCATAGTGACACTCTACTACTTGTGGGGGTGATGACGATTTTTTTCTTTTTTTCTTTACACTGATTGCTTTTACACCCATAAAGGCTGTAAAAGCAATCATTTCTCCTTCTCTCTGGCTGCATTCTTGCAGCCATTGAGAAATACTGTGAGAGCTGTGATTGGTCACAGCTTGTCACATGGTACAAGGCTGTTGTGAATAGCCTTGTACCGTGTGACCTCTGTGATCATTCACAGATTTCACTAGTAGTAAGCAATGATGTCAGGAAGTGACATCTTGCTTACTATTATTCATGTGATCACTGATTGGCTAATCAGTGATCACATGATCGGGACCTCACACAGAGGTTCTCCGGACACAGCGGGCACCGGATCGTGGTGCTGCGCGCGCTCCTAGGGAGAGCTCACAGGCAGTGAATGCGAGGCCACCTGCTTCGGCACTGCTCCCGTCTAGCCATTTATGTACATGGGCCGGACGGGAAGTGGTTAAAGTGGTAGTAAACGGCACCAAAAACAAAGTAAACAAGTAATAATGTGCTAGTATGCATTACTTACTAGCACATTATGACACACTTACCTGAAAATTAAAGTGCTTCCATCTTCACCTGGTCTTCCTTTCGGGCTTCGGCTGTATGAATGGTCGAGCCACCATGACGTCACTCCCATGCATGTGTATAGGAGTCACAGAGTTCTGAATGGACGACACAGTCCATTCAGAACCCTGTGTGCATGCGCGGGTGACGTCACCGGCTACTGCTAGAGTAAATATCTCCTAAACAGTGCACGTTTAGGAGATATTTACTGTACTTACAGGTAAGCATTATTATAGGCTTACCTATAGGTAAGAATCAAAGAAGTGACTTTACTACCACTTTACCATGGTTTTTTTATACCTGTTGATCCTGACTAGAGATGAGCGAATTATTCAAAAATTCGATTCGGCTGATTCGCCGAATTTGCGGGAGAAATTTGATTCGATGTGAATTTATTCGCCGCGATTTTAACTTATTTAAAGGGTTTCTAGGCTTCAGAGAGCCTTTATATTAGTGCAGAACACTGTACCTTTAATTTAAATGCCCTTGGAGTCTGCTGGGGAAGAGAAATAATACTGTCAGTCAGTATGACATGCAGATGAGTGCCGTCGATCTTAGAATCATCGCACACTTCACTCATTTGGGCAGTCACGGGGCACGACGAAGAAGAAGAAGAAGAATGAAAAGAAGAATGAAAAGAAGAAGAAGAAGAAGAATGAAAAGAAGAATGAAAAGAAGAAGAAGAAGAATGAAAAGAAGAATGAAAAGAAGAATGAAAAGAAGAATGAAAAGAAGAAGAATGAAAAGAAGAATGAAAAGAAGAATGAAAAGAAGAATGAAAAGAAGAATGAAAAGAAGAATGAAAAGAAGAAGAAGAGAATGAAAAGAAGAATGAAAATAAGAAGAAGAATGAAAAGAAGAATGAAAAGAAGAATGAAAAGAAGAAGAATGAAAAGAAGAAGAGGAAGAATGAAAAAGAAGAAGAAGAAGAATGAAAAGAAGAAGAAGAAGAATGAAAAGAAGAATGAAAAGAAGAATGAAAAGAATGAAAAGAAGAAGGAGAAGAATGAAAAGAAGAAGGAGAAGAATGAAAAGAAGAAGGAGAAAGAATGAAAAGAAGAAGGAGAAGAATGAAAAGAAGAAGGAGAAGAATGAAAAGAAGAAGGAGAAGAATGAAAAGAAGAAGGAGAAGAAGGAGAAGAATGAAAAGAAGAAAAAGAAGAAGAAGAAGAAGAATGAAAAGAAGAAAAAGAAGAAGAAGAAGAAGAAGAATGAAAAGAAGAAAAAGAAGAAGAAGAAGAAGAAGAATGAAAAGAAGAAAAAGAAGAAGAAGAAGAAGAATGAGAAGAAGAATGAAAAGAAGAAGAATGAAAAGAAGAAGAATGAAAAGAAGAGAAGAAGAATGAAAAGAAGAAGAAGAATGAAAAGAAGAAGAAGAAGAATGAAAAGAAGAAAAAGAAGAAGAAGAAGAAGAATGAAAAGAAGAAGAAGAAGAAGAATGAAAAGAAGAATGAAAAGAAGAAGAAGGAAAAGAAGAAGAAGAAAAGAAGAAGAAGAAGAATGAAAAGAAGAAGAAGAAGAATGAAAAGAAGAAGAAGAAGAATGAAAAGAAGAATGAAAAGAAGAATGAAAAGAAGAAGGAGAAGAATGAAAAGAAGAAGGAGAAGAATGAAAAGAAGAAGGAGAAGAATGAAAAGAAGAAAAAGAAGAAGAAGAAGAAGAATGAAAAGAAGAAAAAGAAGAAGAAGAAGAAGAATGAAAAGAAGAAAAAGAAGAAGAAGAAGAAGAATGAAAAGAAGAAAAAAGAAGAAGAAGAATGAAAAGAAGAATGAAAAGAAGAAGAAGAAGAATGAAAAGAAGAAGAATGAAAAGAAGAAGAATGAAAAGAAGAAGAATGAAAAGAAGAAGAATGAAAAGAAGAAGAATGAAAAGAAGAAGACGAAGAATGAAAAGAAGAAGAAGAATGAAAAGAAGAAGAAGAAGAAGAAGAAGAATGAAAAGAAGAAGAATTCCAGTACAGCAAAAAGTGTATCTGCAGAGAGCTCCGCTATTTCTGACAGTTCTCTGACAGTTCTGACAGTTCATTTTACAGCGGTTGAAACATTGTATCTATTTATTTCCGAATAAAAACATCTGTATCCTAAATGGAAACAAATAGATACAATGTTTCAACCGCTGTAAATGAACTGTCAGAACTGTCAGAGAACTGTCAGAAATAGCGGAGCTCTCTGCAGTGACACTTTTGCCGGCTGATCGGGGAAAATTCGATTCGTGCATCCGAAGTTTGCTAAAATTCGGATTCGATGCGAATCGAATTTTTCCTAATATTCGAAACGAATTCCACTTTGCCAAGTTCGATTCGCTCATCTCTGATCCTGACAGTAGACCCATTATGAGGAACCCAGAAAAAGGAAAATGGCTAGGGACAGACGACATCATATTTGTCACTTGTATTGTTCCCATAGTCATAGTTCCACTTTAAGAGTAGAAATCTTATGCATTAAAGAATGGAATGCAGCTGACATAGTAAAAGGGAGAGGCAAATCTGAGTCTGAAGAAAGTTCAGAAGTGCAGGGGCAGAAAAAGATGTACAGAGCAGGCACAAACACAGAGAAAGAGGCACACTAAAATCACAATAAAAGGGATCCGATCCAGACCAGCCATATTGGAACAATGTGATAATAGTGTACAGTTTTACATAATTCCTACCACAATGAGATAAAAAGGTTTTACTGTGTAGGCCGGGTGTTTATGCTGAGACGATCATCTGGCTGGAACCAGCAGAAGCATAAGTTTTGTATGTGAAAGTTGAGAACACAGCTGACCATTCGCTTGAGAGGCCACATCAGGGATTATAATAATTAATATATAAGATGTTATATAAAAATACCACTGCACTACTATTGTGATAGTGTATATACATGAATATATACAATGAATATATTATTATTTATTATTATTTCAGGTACTTGTATAGCGCTGTCAATTTATGCAGTGCTTTACATATATATATTGTAAATTCACATCAGTCCCTAACCCTTAAGGGGCATACAATCTAAGGTCCCTAACTTACATTCATACATACACATATTAGGGCCAATTTAGACAATTAGCCAATTAACCTACCAGCATGTCTTTGGAGTGTGGGAGAAAACCCAGAGTACCCAGAGGAAACCCATGCAGGCACAGGGAGAACATGCAAACTCCAGGCAGGTGGTGCCGTGGCTGGGATTTGAACCAACGACTCTAGTACTGCCAGGCGGAAGAGCTAACTATTTAGCCACTGTGCTGCCCCATATTTAATGTATATATTGTAAGAACTAGCATCAAGGGTAGAGCTTTTGAAGCGCACAGTCACTCACTTCTTTTTTAAAGGCCGTTTTTTGTCCAATTTTATTTAAGAGAAAGGTCCACACAACAGGGGTATCCACCATCACTGCAAACGAAAACAAAGATTCAGCCTCCTGGCTCTCTTTAGCAGCACCGCTGCTCAGGCTTCATGCCTCAGGCCTCTTGACCCTTCACATACAACACACTGCACTTGGGTTACCGCCCTTTCACAGCACTCCTGCTTCTCCAGCCCACAGGCTTGGGCCCTGTTTGCTCTCAGACTTCTCTGTGCCACCATGCACACTTGTGGCTGCCACCATGCACACTTGTGGCTGCTCCCTTGCACCCACATGGACTCCTCGGGAGGGTGGAGCCCAGAACCCTGGTCCTGACTCTAGAAGAAGCCCACACACACCTGACCAATCAGTTTCCTGGCCATTCCCAAAACCTGGTCGGAGGATTGGAGATTTCATCCCTCCCTAATCACTTTGAAATCTCCAGGTGCCAAAGTGGACCCAAATGAGCAAAATGAAAAGCCATTTTCCTCTGCATTAAACAAGTACCCTGGAACCCCTCAACCTGCTTTGTTGAGAATCCCGGGTGAAATATCCTTTCTACACTGTGACAGGCCGCCACACTGTCACAATATGAATATAATTACTGTGAAAATATAGAATGGGTTTGCTGCTGTTCACTGAAATGTGTTTCCACACCAAATAGAACCTAATAACCAAAAAGTGTGGAGCTACCCTCTTAGAAAACTAACATATGTAAATAGTGGTGGAAACCCCCATGTGAATGTGAATCACCAGAATATTGTATCCAATGTATACTGCTGAAACCTTAATAACTGATATATAAATTAAACAAAATAACTAAGTTTAGCACCCTCCTAGAAAGGTGCTAGGTTTAGATAGATTTAGTTTGTATTTTGATAAGTAAATTATTAGTTGTCACATTGTAGTCAGTGTGGTTGTGATTATTGTTAGGTAAAAGCATACCTTGTAGACTGTAATCAGTGTTGCTGTGTTCTACTAGCTAGGTCTGCTCAGTATGTTCAGTTGCTGCCATTCTTATAGCTCCCTCTGCATCCAGAAAGCTTGAGAAGCTTCTGGATAATAGGCTTGGAGCTATGTAGATGGCAACATGAATATTGATACAGTCCTGGCCTATCCTAGAGAGAGAGGCTCTGATGGCATGCTGGGAAACTGTATATATTCAGTGAGCACACAGAGTTCTGGGTCTTTTCCTGTATAGGATTGGTCCAACCAGGAGAGGGCACGCCGCCCTCCCAGGCAATGCTGCTGGATCTATTGCTGTAGGCCTCAGACCTGAGAACCTGAATGCTGAGCTACAGCTGACTGAGGGGCCATTTACTGAAAATCTGGTCTAATATCATGGAGGAAGGCAACCAGCTGTCCTTGGACTTTGTGAGTACTGACACCCCTAAAGGATCTTAGAGACTTTGTGCTACTTACAACCCTCTGGTGCTAGGGAGTCAGCTGTGGGTCTAGCTAGCCCACTTAATCTCCAACTTCAAGGGATTCTGCTCTAGTTTGCTACTACAACTAATGCTGCTGTCTTAAAGTTGAAGTCCACTGGTTGTCTGAATGCAAAGATTTCGTCATAGCTTATCTCAAAGAATATCTAAAGTCCTCAACTGTACATAATTCTTGTTTTTGGAGTGTCCCACCTAATTCCCTCAACCATATCCAAGTTCTCCAAATATAAAAACAACAAAAATAACATCCCTAGACTTATCATTTAAGAAACGTGTGAATGAGCCTATGTGCCTGGCTGCATGGCAAAGCTTTTTGAGGAAGACCTGGACAGTATTCCTGCAGCTCCTATGGTAGTAGCCAGGGGCGGACTGACAACTCATGGGGCCTCCGGGCAATAGGGGATCAGGGGCAATAGCCCCTGTGTCCTTGCCCAAACTCAAAAAAGCCTATGAAAAAGGTACCAGGGGCATCTCATGGGGCCCCCTACTGACCCCGGGCCCTCGGGCAGTGCCCAAGTTTCCAAATGGTCAGTAGCGCTACATAAGTGTGCTGCAAATATGATATATATATATATAAATAATATATATATATATATATATATATATATATATATACTGTGTATAAAGGAACACCTTAAAACTGCAAAGTGCCCTACATGCATTGTAAAATAAACTTATTACATTTACTAACAAACACAGCTTCTTATATATGCAGCATATACTGAATGATGGCGAGAACCTCTGTTGTGTGAATATAAAATCAATACAAAAAATGTATCTCTAACTCTAAAGTCTGATGAAATAAACTCTGGGATTGGTTTGCTAAAACTGGAAAATCTGATGCAGCTCTGCATAGAAACCAATCAGCTTCCAAGTTTTATTGACAAAGCTTAATTGAACAAGCTAAAGTTAGAAGTTGATTGGCTGCCATGCACAGCTTCACCAGATTTTACACTCTCCAGTTTTAGTAAATCAACCCCTCTGTGTCATGAAAAACAGTCCATTTAGATTTGTGCTGCTCAAATGAATCCATATCCAATAACACTGCACCATGTGATATCCACCACCATCAATCCTATGTGCTCACCTCCATGTTAGACTTTAGAGCACTGGTGTCAAACTCGCGGTCCTCCAGCTGTTGCCAAACTAAAAGTCCCATGAGGCATTACAAGATTGACAGTTACAAGCATGACTCCCAAAGGTAAAGGCATGATGGGACTTGTAGTTTTGCAAAAGCTGGAGGGCCACCAGTTTGAGACCCCTGCCTTAGAGTTTCACTGCATGCCTTCCCCACCCTGGGGGCAAATCCACTGGTGTAGGATATCATCGGTTTCACCAGCTACTTCTGATTCAAAGGATCCTACAGCAAACAAGGCTCAAATACAATAAAAAGGCCATCATTGTGTTTTACCATATTAAAAGATTAAAATTGTATTAAAAAATCCAAAAATGCATTCTCAAGAAACAGTGCACTTTAAACCGTGCACATGGATATACTGTATGGATTGTATCTATACAACATGATGTCCCCTTAAGAAAAATCAGAAAATTTGCATCACCTTTCATGTGAGTGCACTTATGGGTTTTAATAAAATTTGAATCTTTTAAGATCGAAAAAAAAAAAAAACGTTATACAACAAAGTATATCCTGCTGCCTCTCTGACTAATGCCACGTGGTTTGAATTTTTTTTGTGTTTTCAAATGTTCCCCTACCAGGAAGTTCACAGTTAAGTGGTTTCAGATGCATGAAAGTACTGTTTGCAGCTATTGTAGTAATTGAATGACAAAAAAACTACTATTCATTGTAAATTATTGACATTGAATTCCCAAATTATAGTGACTTAAAGAAAGATGCAATGTTCTTTACAGCAACTGTACTATGCTGTATGGATGGCTGCAATGTCAGTGATTATAATTATGATATTCTAGAGGTTGCAGGAATTGTACTTATCCATGGAAAGTATACCCAGTGATCACAGGATGTCATAATACAATTTTTCTGTGATATCTTAATACTAATGGGAATTATGGATATTTCTGCACCTAGTCCTCTAGTCTGCTATATATGAATTACCAGTGTGTGCTCAGACTCATATATAATAACAGAGCAACCGGTACACTGATGTCATGGCTATAGGAGAATATCTCTATCACAGTCAATAAAGCCTATCTCCAATTTTTTATATACTTAAAACATATGGGGGCTGAATTATAAAAACCGAAGAGTGCAAAATCTGGTGCAGCTCTGGTTCCAGACAGCTTCCAGGGTTTTTTGTCAAAGCTTAACTGAACAATCCGAAGTTAGAAGCTGATTGGCTACCATGCAGAGGGGCACCAGAATTTGCATTCTCCAGTTTTAGTAAATCAGCCTCATGGTTTTAATAAATGTTGTGCTTCTGAGCACTCTGCATGGACTTGTTTGGTTCCTAAAGTAAACACTTGCTGACACAAGTCAAAACAACAGGGTCACCTAACTTTCCCCTCTCCAGCAGCATATATTGATCTTTGCTTCACTTTGTTTTCATACTGATCAGCTACCGAGGGCAAAGAGAAATGCCTGGTATTCCCAGGTATGGAGGAGCATGTAATTCACTCCCAGGGCTGGTTTCCCTACTCCACACCATGGCTGGATCTAGGGGGGTTCTGGGATGGACTTTGGGGGGATTTTATGCTGGGAAGGGTAATTTGGAGGGGGTTTGTTTTGAGCAGTGACCCTTTGCTTGCTTTTAGCTGGACCTTGGGGTACTATTTCATCCACTGATACTAACAATCGGGCAACATTCCCCCCCACCGACACCAATGGAGGGACTCAATTTCTCCCAATGACACCAACAATGGGGCCAAATGACACCAATTATGAGACACAATTCCTCCCAATGACACAAACAATGGGGCACTATTCCTTCCACTGACATCAAAGATGGGTAATTTTTTTCCCTAGTGCCACTGGGACCTTTTCAACTCCCAATGGCCCCAGTCCCGCCCCCCCCTAAAAACTGAAGGACAGTAAACTGGCCCTTTGCTTAGAAAGTTTAGAGACCCCTGGTTTAGAGGAAGGGATTTGGGGGAATTTTTCCTGGGTGGGGGATTAAAGGAAGAGGAGTGATGCTGGGAAGAGGGATTGGGGGGAATTGTTCTAGGAGAGGAATTGGGGGGAGGGGAATTTGTGCTAGCAGAGGGGACTGGGGGGATTTGTGTTAGGAAAGAGGATGGGGGGGTGATTTGTGTTAGTAAAAAGGATTAGGGGAATTTGTGCTAGTAGATGGGATTGGAGGGGTTGTGCTAGAAGGGATGATTGGGGGGGGTTTGTTCTAGGAGGGGGGATTGGGTGGGTGTGCTAGGAAGGGGGATTGGGTGCATGTGTTAGGAGGGGTTTTTTGGGGGGGAATTTGTACTAAGAGCAGGGATTGAGAGGAAATTTAGAGAGGAGGATGGGTGGGGACTTGTGTTAGGAAGGGGATTGGGGGGATTGTCCTAGGAGGCGGGATTGGGAGCAGATGTGCTAGGAGGGGAGGGGAATTTGTGCTAGGATAGGGGATTTGGGTGGGGAGGAAGGATTTGTGCTGGGAAGGGTAATTTGGAGGGGGTTGTGCTAGGAGTTGGGATAGGGGGATTTATGCGAGGAGGGGGGATTTGAAGGAAAGTATTTGTGCAAGGGTGAAAATTTTGAGGGGAAAGAGGATGTGTGCTAGAAGGGGTGATGTAGAACTATAGGTGAATTTTTTTTTCTTTTTGGGGGGTGCAATTAGCTGGTCTTGCCTAGGGTGCAAAATAGTCTAGCACTGACCCTGTTCACTCCCTTTCTCCAATAACATTGTGGTATTGTCACAGGAGGTCTGGATTCGAGTCCTCAGCCTGTTTAAATGCTAAGTTCACCTTTAGGAGCATGTTACATGTTATACCCATATTTAGGGTGTAATATGTAACATTCTCCTATGCATCAACATCCCACTGTCAGCGCCTCCCTCTCTGTGACAGTGGGCTTGGAATCTTCTCCTTGAACCCACTGTCACAATTCAAACACACATGACCTCATCATTCATTTAAAGATTCCTGTGAATGAATAGACTACAATTACCATCTGCCATTGCAGCTGATGGCTTGTGGCTCATCTGGTTCTGTCACTTTTGGAAATTTGATGTGGAGATGTGGAGTTACAAAATCCAGATTTTGACAGTGAAGTTCAACTTTTTTAAGACCCTCAGTTATTGCACACATTTCATTGAACAGTATTTGCCATTGCTTGCACGCAGAATCAAAATAATTGCATCCAACCATGGACCCCGAGCATTCTCACCTATGCTGGGATCGCATTTCTAAGCTTTTATAAACTGAGCATTGTATGTTTGTATGTGTGATTCTGTTGGCATTCATATTTGCTTTATGTTTTCTAATAAACTACTGCAGCCCCAATGCAAGAATTCTCTAAACCAGCCTTTTTCAACCAGTGGTGTCTTCAAACTACAACACTCCTGACTATGGTGTAACATATATATGTTATGCTACAGAAGAAGACTTTTTTTCTGTTTATATATGGCATGTGTTTGTGCTGGCTCAATCACACAACCCCAGCAATGAGATTGAGCTGTCACTGACAGCTCCTGGTCTTTGAAGGCACATTATGTCCTGAAAAATAAAACAAGGTTTCGTTCAGCTGGGGTGCCTCAAGATTGTGATACTTTTAAAAGGTGTCGTGACCAAAAGAAATTGAGACCTTTCTAAACTGCTGTTGCAGGAGTGTTTATTGAACTACTAAATATAGTAATGGCTACATGACTGGATATATTTCAGTTATAATTGTCCTTTAATGGGCTTGGTATTTATCAGTTATGTATATTTGCAGCTATTTCTAACAGATTAAATTTTGGTTGTAATTTTTGAATGAGATGTAGTAGCTGCCTGTAAAAAATAGAAGGCCAAGAAGTCTGAGTTCGGCTAATAAAAAGCAGTCAAAACTACCAAGATAGTGGATAGGATAATGCTTTGCAAATGAGAATAATATGTTGTTCAGTTTCACATCTAAACACAAATAAGGCTTTCTTTAATGCTCTGAGCACAAATTTAATTACATACAGAGAAGCAATTAGGTAACAGCTGATCATGTTCTGTGAGAGCCAGAACAAATGGGAACATTAAGGCTCGGTTCACACTGCTGCAACTTGGGATCCGACTTGTGAGACCCCCAAGTCGCATGGCATGTGAAATCCCATGTTAGTCATTGAGAGCCGTCTTAATTAGCACTACTGAAGTCGCTCCGACTTTAGAAAAGGTTCCTGTACTACTGCAAGGAGACTTCTATTCGGCTTGTGCCCATAGACTTTAATAGAAGTCGCCTTCCTTGTCAGA